CCCCCCCCAGTGCCAGAGAAAAGACGTTTGGGAATTTCTGGGCTGAATTCCCTAAGACTTTCTGTGGCTCTCGGTGACTTTAGTAGCGCCCCATATCGGAGCTGTGTGGACATGTCTGCTGCCAACGTAGCACCTGCTCCTGGCAGGCAGTCATTCTGGTTACACACGAGGCCACACAGTGTCAGGCTGACCCGTTGCCTAGAGACATGCCAGTGATAGAAACGCTGAGGGGCACCAGCTGGCTACCCGCAGGGGCAGGGCTCACAGGGGGCAGGCCCCCGACACAGGGCCCCTATGTTCTGGTGACAAGCATTCATTTAGCAGATTCAGAAACTTCACTGCATCAGGGAGCCCAGCACCAGAGCGAACTCACAGAAATCAGATTTGAGAGGTTCACAGTGGATAAGACCCATAGACGGTGACCACATTTAATCTATCACCGAAGGCACCAGGCAGTGGAGCTAGGAGTTTGGGACCAGGCCCCTTTAGCTCAGCTTCCTCACTGTCCACATAAGTAGCAAACTGTCTAAATAAAACAAAGGCTTTTGTTGCTTCAGTGGTGGAATCTGCCAGGCCCTGGGCCTTGCCTCGGCCCTGTGCCCGTTAAAAAGATGGACTTGGTCTGGATCCTGCACCACTGCTTGAAAGGAGTTCTCCTGGAGAGCAGACGACCCCCACAGCTGCTCTGTGAGCAGAGAAAGAACCAGGACTCGTTGAATTCTCAAGCCACTGAGATTTACCTGCATCAGAGCTTAACCTGACCTGAACAGCACACTGACGCTCATGGACCAAATTACTGGAGCCGAGCACCATGCAGTCCAGGTGTGTGTGTACTAGAGAAATACCGTTCTGTTTAGGCCTGTTATTTTTGGTTTTTACCACAGCCAACTGATCATATATCCTAATGAACACCCACGAGTCTTGACATCTCATTTGATAACTATGTGACAGTAAGTGGTCAATAAATGTTTATGAACTGAACAAAGCCAGGGTAGAGCTGGGTGACCCATCTCTACTCCAAAATAGAGCGTATCATTCTGGGGACCAGAATCCCCCTGTCTGACACGTTCACCCATTCCCTCTCCTGAGTCATGCTGGATTAGTGTGGACACATCTTTCAATACATGAATAAACGAGTGAATGAATTATCCACATCTCCCTCACTTCATAAATCCATCCACCCATCCACCCATCCATCCATCTACCCGTCCGTCCATCCATCCATCCATCCATCCA